CAAATTAATCCTGGGTCAAGGGCAAGACTCTGGATGTGTTCAGAAAAGTGCAAAGTCTCAGACTTATCAAGAAAATAGTTTAAAAAAAAAACACAAAAAATGGTTTGACCATTTATGATCTTGGATACAGGATGTTTTTTTTTAAATATATATTTAAGCACAAATCATCATTAAACAGTCAATGGCATTGTGTTCAAAATAAGTTATCATGGTTATGTGGTCTTTCAGTCTGGAGACTTTTCACTATCCTGAGTTAACACTTGCAGCTCTCAGCTTGTGTGAGGTAGAAGCCCAGAAACCAGGCAGTTGACAGACAATGCACACACCAAATCCCCCACAATAATCAATTGAATGACATCTTGTAAAAACAGTGAAAACTACTGGGTTCGTGTCCATGTGGCAGTATTTTCCATTCTGGTTTGCTCTGAGCTAACAAGTTTGTGCAAATGGAGCCAAGTCCACTTGCTAACGCCTGCATCGCAGCCCTCTTGGTCGCTGCTGGTGCGGAATCCTGGTCTGCTTTGGTCTCTAAATTACATGTTAGCTTACCTTCTCACTGCTGACTTCAGCACAGGCTAGATAGCTGATACACGTGTTTCATCAGAGAGTGCGCCCCGGTTTCCGGTGGCTGACCAAGTATGCACCCTTTAGCATTTAGTTTGACACTTTGACAGCACATATTGTGACACTGAAGGTAAATACCCCGGTTATCACGTTGGTAGCCCACCCGACCATTACCGCCCATGTGTTTGAGAGTCACCCACGGAAACGGAGGCATGAAGTAGTAATGTTAACAGAACAATTTATCAGCTCTCTGTTCACATTACTGAATCCGGCAACGCTGGACTCAGGAAAACGTGGACGGCAATCTCCGGCTTTGGCCTTGCGTTAACTTCGCCATTGTTCCCCTGCACATATATCACACAACCTTTATCATCTTTATTCATCTTGTAGTGTCTGCGAATAATCTCATGTCGGCAAGCACGTGCTTTCTCTTGGGTTAAAAACATTTCTACCACGTTAAAAGTAACTATAAAACCCGCGGTGCCTCACAGCGTGGATTTGTGAATCTACAACACTTACAGATGTTTTGGAGTTCATGATTTTTGGTCCGACGTTAACAATAAGGTTGGATTTAGCGGGGAGGGACTCACTCGCACACGTTGAGGCTAACTAGCTAGCGGGCTAGTTTGCAGCGCTAAATGCTTTAGCACTGGAGCTAACGAGGGAGCTTCATCGGGACAATAACATGACGCGCCAGTGTTTATTTTATATGAATGCATTTGCGTTTAGTGTTTGAGTGGGCAGGAAGCATGCCACTCAGTGCAGTAGTAACGCGGGATCGAGCGTTCTGGCTTTTGCCCGCTAGCCGCTGTTAGCACACGATGACAATGAGCATGTCACTTCCACGATCTGTCAAAATAGGCTAACTTGAGCTAGCATGCTAATTCGAAGGGAATTTCAGTGAGGCCATTGTTACAACGTCATTAGTCGGTACGGACTCCGCCGATTGCCGAAGTGTGGCTTTAAAATGTAATCAGATTCATCGAGGCCTAGAGAGCTAGAGCGTTAGCCCGCTGGATGCGTGGTTTGTCAACGTGCCGCCATATAGGAAGAGTCCATTTTCAAAAAGCCGGTCTGGAGAACTCGTTCCCAACCACCACCAGTTTCCACATTGTTTCAAACAGCACCACACGGTTCACACTTTTTACCAATCAATTAGGCAACAATCACGTGACCAATTAGTAGCATTCGCCCTACCTGCCGCTGGATCACCAACGCGTATGGTGTTGATTATTTAGGAAGATAAATGTGATATTTAAAAGACAGAAAAAGTGTAAAACTCCCGGCACTGATCCGGCTTCAGTCATTCACTCTTGATGATGTAAAATGGCTGCCACGTTCACGCCTCGAGTTTTGTCTCGTCGATGGGGTTTCTTGGACAGCCCTGCACGGGCTTGCCTTGTATGCATTTTACAGAAGAGCAGGTCATCCACAGCATCCATCATAATTACTAACGATGAGTAATTTCACGACAACAGCGCCGTTTATTTGACGCATACGTGTGTTGGCTAATAGAACCGTTAAATGTTTAGTTACGGAACGGAAACGCTGAGTAAAAGCCAGCAATAAACTTATATTCAAAAGTAAATACTGAAATTAAAACAAGAATATACAACAATGAAATCAATTAGCATACTATTAATAATTTACTAATAATACACAAACAATAGTAGCCTAATAAAATGAATTTTAAAAAAAAGATATATATACATATATTAAATATGGTCAGTACAAAATGTTACCAAACACCAGTCCACGTATATTTAAATATAAAACTACATACTGGATGTGGGACCTGAACAGACCAACACTTGTAGGCTACACTATTGAGCTCCAGTGCTCGACTGGAAGAAGTGAGGTAGATCCCACTTTCCACCACACTGTGTCACTCTTCTCATAGATTTAACAGTCCTCTTCTACATGAACAAAAGAATATGTCAGAGTGAGAGTATGTGTATAGAAAACTGTGTGGTTATATTGATATAACAGATACAGTATGAGGGGCAATGGGTTGAGCTAGTGAAGAGCTTTTTAGTTATGTAATGCAAAACTGCATACAATTCATACAGTATTTTTACTTAAAAAGATTTTCTGCATCAGACAGGAAATAAAAGTTGTATTTGTCATCATGCATGCATTACAAACATCATCTTTTTTGTGTCTAGTTTGTAAACAATGTTATTTTATCTCAATATCTTACTATGGGTTGACACAGTGAGTGTCAATAGCAAAATCACAAGTAAAAAAATTCTCAAAAACTGGTAAAATCTCACTTATTGGTGCCTTTTCCAATCACAGTTTCTGGGTTTACATATTTGGACACTCCAGGCTTACATAACTAACTCACTAATTCATTCATCATCTGAAAATTACTCTTTTTTTTTTACAAAAACTTTGTCGTGACAATACAATGCATGGTATGAATTTGGGGTTGGGTTATCTGCTATCTTCATCACAACCTGGGTGAATCATGGGCTTAATGTTTGGCTCATGGCTGAAATAATAAAATTTTAGCAGGTAACTGACTCCAACAACCCCCACAGGTATAGAGCGTTAACAGCTGGATGATGCTGCCTGGAAGATTTGGAGAAATACCTTGCGCAGCTGTTGAGGAATTAGAGCAACAGTCTATAATTTCCTGCACACTTTCTCAATAAGTAATACTGTTTCATTGACAGAATGTGACAGAAATACTGAAATGTATTGCTTGTTGCAAGTTGTTTCACAAAGAAATGTAACTTACCTAACATTGAACATTTTGAATCAGAATCAGAATCAGAATCAGAAATACTTTAATAATCCCCGTGGGGAAATTACTTGAAAGGTGGGTACAAGAAACAGGAAAAACAAGAGTGAAAGAAATGACACAAGACAAAAAATAACAATGACAAAAGTATTCATAATAATGTCTAATTCTATTTCTCCTGCCTCAGAACAAACCTTTAGCTCAGACAGATATTTTAGAACAAAACAATTGGTTTAAAAAGTTTTGCATTCAGCTTTAAAACTAAGTGGTAGCAGATGTTGCGACTGTATAACAGGTCTTCTGTAAGTTTTCAGAATTTGTTATCTTGAACTGCTAGAACTATAAAAGCAACTTTATTTTACCATAAAACATCAAAGGTAGAACCAGTTTCTGAAGTAATTATATTTATAGAGGTTCAGGTCCTCAGATAGAAACAACAGATAAAGAGGAATTTATTGTTGGTTTTGATTCTAAATTGAAAATGGAATAGATGAATGGGATGACAACTGTTCATTGTTTTAAGAGGCCAAAAACTTTATTTCAAGAGATAATAATTCATTCTCCATAAAAAAGGCCTCCAGGATCTAATAAGTATATGGTTTTGATTGGTAACATTTGACATTTAACAATGAAAACGTTCTGAGTT